CGTTTGTTTAAAAATTCAGCGACGCACACTCGTCGAATAGCGAAGGGTCGATCCACTCGTCGATCGATGAATCGTTTAGGGCGCAAAATCACTCCGGCTTAATCCGATTCTACGCGAAACTGTTCTACGAATTCGTCGATTTCTAGTAGAAAATCGGCCGCTGGGAACAGCCATCGAAATAATTCAATTATCGCGACCGTTTCGATTCGGCCTAATCAGAGCGGCACCGGAATAAAAAGCTAACGGCGATGGCTGGAAGCGTGGCGATTATGGGGAAAGCGTTCGTGCCCCGCCTCGAGAATGTTTCGGGAAGTGACTAACGCCCGCGGAAAATTTTACAGTCGGCCCATTATCGTAAAAATCTATAGTAGGCCTCCGGCGCAGCGGGATTATGATAACGACCGTCGGCGTAAGTGTGGGTTACGCTCTCTTTTTCTCCTCCCCTCTCCCTATATCGTTCTTTCTCTCTTTCTGTCTCTCTTTGTCTCCCTCTGTCTCTCTTTCTCTCTATTTCTTCCTCTCTCTTTCTCTCTCTTTATTTCTTTCTCTCTCTTTTTATTTATTTTCTTTCCTTTATTTCTTTTTTTTCTTTTTTATTTATTTTATTTATTTCTGTCTCTTTATTTCTTTCTTTCGTTTCTTTCTCTCTCTTTCTTTATTTCTTTCTTTCTTTTCTTTCTCTCTCTTTCTTTATTTCTTTCTTTCTTTTCTCTCTCTCTCTCTTTATTTCTTTTTCTCTCTCTCTCTCTTTATTTCTTTTTCTCTCTCTCTCTTTATTTCTTTCTCTCTCTTTCTCTCTCTTTATTTTTTTCTCTCTCACTCTCTCTCTCTTTATTTATTTCTTTTCTTCACTCCCTCTCTATCTCTTTATTTATTTCTCTCTCTTTCTCTCTCTCTCTCTCTTCCTCTCTTTATTTCTTTCTTCCCTTCACTCCCTCTCTATCTTTTTATTTATTTCTCTCTCTTTCTTCCTCTCTCTTTCTCTTTATTTCTCTTTCTCTCTCCCCCCCACTCTCTCTCTCTCTCCGGGTCTATCGCGCAGATGACGTCCATCCCGGGACCAAAACGAAACGAAACCATCCGGAATGGCCGCAGCGGCGTGCGGCGCCGCGCTGCGGCGTAGAAATTTAATTTAACTTTTCTGCCCCCGGACCGATGACGCTGCCAGCTATCTCGGCCAGCGTTCGGCTTGATCGACGTCGGTTCATTTAGACAGCCCGAATATATATGGCTCCGGGAACTTTTTCGAACGCGTCCCAGGCTTGTTCCCCTCTATCGGCAATATCGGACTATTAATCCTAGATAGGGATCCACGCGACTCCATCACCTATTTCTGTGTCTCCCGCCGCCCGGTTTGCAACCCTTTCTGTCTCTCTCTCTCTCTCTCTCTCTCTCTCTCTCTCTCGCCGATTAAACGACCGCGTTGCGACCGCGAAAGGCGGAGCGAGACACCGGCGAACAACACCGATCCATCTGGAACCAGCGACGGTAATCCTGGAACTTAATCGGCAGCTGCTATCGCAGACATTTTTACAGTATTTGTTGCCCTCGTGTGGCTTCGGAGCAAGAAAAACCGCTCGAAGCGGAATAAAGTCTGTTCCTTCCTCTTTAATTTAGAAAAAAGAAACGTAGCTGCGATTTTTTCCCGCTATGTTACAGCATCTTAAACTACCCCTTGCATTTTTGCAAGGTGGTTTATCACATTGAAAACTGCCAAGTTTGACGAAACGCACAGATTTTGTACAATTTTTTTCGAAGATGCCGCTTACAGTGGATTATAGTTTGATTCTTCCTCTTTAATTTGAAAGAAGAGAAATGGGGCTGCGATTTTTTTTTGCTAAGTTACAGCACGTTAAATTACCCCTTTCATTTTTGCAAGGCGGTTTGTCACGTGGAAAACTGCCAAGTTTGACGAAACGCACAGACATTGCAAAATTTTTTTCGCAGATGCCATTCACAGTGAAATAAAGTGTGTTCCTTCCTCTTTAATTTAAAAAAGAAGAAACGCGGCTGCGATTTTTTTCACTAAGTTACAGCACTTTAAATTAACCCTTGCATTTTTGCGAGATGTTTCTCACGTTGGAAACTGCCAAGTTTGACGAAATCCATGGGCCTTGACAAATTTTTTTCGGAGATGCCATTTCAAGTAGAATAAAATGTAATTCTTTCTCTTTAATTTAAAAAAAGAAAAATAGGGCTACGATTTTTTTTCGCTAAGTTACAGCACGTTAAATTACCCCTTGCATTTATACAAGGCGTTTGTCACGTTGAAAACTGCCAAGTTTGACGAAACGCACAGACATTGTAAAATTTTTTTCGGAGATGCCATTTACAGTGAAATAAAGTCTGTTCCTTTCCCTTTAATTTAAAAAAAAGAAACGTAGCTGCGATTTTTTCCCGCTATGTTACTGCTAAGTAATGCTAAGCACCTCAAACTACCCCTTGCATTTACGCAAGGCGGTTTGTCACGTGGAAAACTGCCAAGTTTGACGAAACGCACAGACTTTGTAAAATTTTTTTCGAAGATGCCGCTTACAGCGGATTATAGATTGATCCTTCCCCTTCAATTTAAAAAAAGAAAAACCCGTCTGCCATCTTTTCCCGCAAAATTACGACACTTCGCAGTAACCCTTGCATCAGAGTTGTCTCCGTCGGCAATCATAAAAATCGGAAGTTGTTTCAGCGACTGTGTCGGCGAGTTTATGGAATTCTAGAGTGTGTTCGTTAGGACGGCAGCGATTTAGACATTCGTAGCCGTGTTCGACGGCGGCAAACATCCTTGGAAATTAGTTGGATGCATCATGGTTCTGGGGTTCGGGCTGTCGCCGATGCATTCCGCGCGGCGCGGCGCGGCACGGCTCGGCTCGGCTCTAGTTTATCAAGTAACTCCGCGAGTTACAGCCAAGTTCACGCCCGTATCTATGACTGAACACCGGTTCGCACTAAATCGACCAATTCCGACCTTAACACGCTCGGCCGGAGCCGAGCGGAATGTCTCTTCGGAAGAGCTGTTACGTTCGAGCCCCCGGCACCAGCGGATTAAACCGCTTGTAATCTTCCTCCTTCACGGTGCCGCGGACTTCAACTCGTTCCGCTTCTATCCATCCCTTCCGTCAATGAATACGAAATGCCAAGTGTTGTACGACCTCATCCAGAGATCCTGCTGTCTCTCTCTCTCTCTCTCTCTCTCTCTCTCTCTCTCTTTCTCTCTCTCCCGCTCTCTCTTTCCTCTTCAACGTCGTCCACGGCACCGACCGGCGCCATTGTTCCTAACGGCGCTCGGCCCGTCATCCAACGCCCCCGTGCGTCATAAATGTATAATTAAAACGGAGCAATCTGTCAGGTCGAGTCATAAATAATTCCCATAGGGTCCTAGATAGTTCTGGCTCAGCAATTTTTATTCGGCACTCGCGTAAACCGCTTCTCGCTTCGATATTGTAACGATAAGTTGCTTCTAACGGCAGAATTTTTTATATGGAATCGCGATTTGTTTTTGTTACTCGAATTGTCGTACTCCTTATTAATAGTCTGACTCGTTAGACTCGTTAGACTCGTTAGGTTATCTAGCGATGACCTCTTGACCCTTGGGCGGTGTTTTAGTGACAGTGTTGATTCAGCATTGATCTTGTATCGATGTTTTAATTAATAGCTTATTTATGGAGTTTGTGGAATTTATGGAATTCTGGTAACAACAAACTTTTACTTTCTTCTGTGCCCACGTTTTAATTGTTATATCCTGGTCATTATAGTCTGCTTGAAAACATTGTATTACAGTGCATAACATTATTTATTTTTATTGTTTGTTAGATACGTTCGCTT